AGAGAGTACATGAGAGGGGGGAAGGTTAGAGGGAGAAGCAGGCTCCTCGCTGAGCAGGGAGCCCGATGCGGGACTTGATCCAGGGACTCCAGGATCATGACCTGAGCCGAAGGCAGTCGCTTAACCAACTGAGCCACCCAGGCGCCCGAGATTCTGCTTTTCTAACCAGCTTACAATGATGCTGATCTAGAGACCACACTTTGAGTAGCAAAGCTCTGCAGTTTACTGAGAACTTTTATTGGTGGTTCTCTCACTTGTCCAGGTGCGTGAGAACCCATATATCATGAGGCTCTTTGGGAACCTACCTTATTCCAGCATTTGAACTGGGCCAGTCTTGCTGCAAAAAGTAATACGATGCCAGGTAATATACCATGTGTCCCTCAAAATGCCAATGACGACCAAGCTCATGTCAACTGGTTGCTTCTGGACTTTCCTAAAAATGTTTGCTACTTGCCTGGCATATAGAAGGCTCAACAGAGGCCTTGGTATAAATGAATGAATGAATGAATGAACAAACGAAAGAACAAACAAAAGAAGGAAGGAAGCAGGACACTAAGTGAACTTGGCTCCCAGCTGGCCTCTGTGCATATTTAGACCATCTCGTAAGTCATTCCACTTGTCACGTACAGAGATGGGGGAATAATACAAAACCATCACTGGACTTGGTGAGAATGAGGGAGGAGGGGGTGGAGGGAGGGGGGAATACCGGGGGCAGCCACTAACTTCTGGGGGTCACTGAGCACCAGGCACAGAGTTAAGTCCTTTACATTGTCTACTTCATCTTCTCAAACTTCTGTGAATTGGGGATGCTAAAGATCTGCACTTTAGAGACTGGGGAACTGAAGTACAGAGAGGGTCGGTAACCCGGGATGCCCCAGTTAGGAAAGAGGAGGCAGGCTCAGCCCACAGCAAGTCCGGACCCCGTTCTCTGCCAGCAGTTAGTACCCCCAGACTGGCTTGCCCATGCGGCTTCTCCAAATCCAATATTAACACAGCTGAAAGACCTAATCGATACTCTCCGTGTCTGTGTTCTTATTATACGGATATAGCTTAGCACATGGACGCCACGTTTATGAGCTTTGTCTGATGGTTTCTGAGGTTTTTTTAAATTAAGGAGTAAAACAGGGGCGCCTAGGTGGCTGAGTCGTTAAGCGTCTGCCTTCCGCTCAGGTCATGATCCCAGGCTCCCAGGATCGAGTCCTGCGTAGGGCTCCCTGCTCAGCGGGGAGCCTGCTTCTCCCTCTCCCACTCCCCCTGCTTGTGTTCTCTTTCTCGCT